AATACTCAAAACACTCTATGTTTACATCACTTTTAAGTTTCCATTTGATAAATAACTGTATGCAATATTGATACAGTTTTACATACCTTTGATATCAAATGTCCAGAGCAGTATTTATGCTTAGATTTCCCTTCTAAAAGGAAATTAAATCGTTTGAATGTAAATGACTATTTGTCTTTCCCTGCTTATAAGCCAGAGGGATTCTTTGTTTTGTAACTCACACTAATGTTTAATAAATTCATGACTCCACTTGCAAGCAAATACTTTTGCTCTTGCTAGTCATGCCATGTAGCCTTTGTCAGTGGCTCATTTTATGTTTGTCACTGCTTATGAGCTTGCTGCTGTTAAGAATAAGTGGAAAACAGAAAAAAATCCAGTTAGCAAAGAACACATTTAAGGCCTCAGGTTCTCTTCATTTCTGTGTCTTTCAGTGTGATGATGAACTACAATTACTTTCACTATAGGTTGAGGGAAAATCCCACTTTTTAGGGATATGCAGTACACTGGGTTTTTTTCTTTCATAATTCTCTAGCTCTGGTGTGCAAACTTGATTGCAGTGTGAGCATCTTTATCTGACATTGGATGTGTTGTGAATAGTCTTAGTTTTAATGAGTAATTTTCAATGACTTTCAAATGACATCTGTATTCTGCCTTGTGTATATAAGTTCTCAGCTGTTCCAGGTACACTCTTGCTGACCTCCTGAGCTATTAACATACACTGAAGTAGGCTGAATGTTCCTTGGGTATGCTGAAGATTGATACATCCTAGGCCTTGACAGCTGCAGTGTTTTTCTGTGCCAACTTCAGACAGTCTAAGCAGCCCTTTTTTGGAAGAAACTGTTTGGCTCCCAAGACCATTCAGGGAACAGCCTTACCAAGTCCATTAATTGTGCCAACAGCTTAAAAAGACTGTTTAAACTTATTTTCATCGTAAGACTGTAATAATTTCTGGCTAATACACATTCTGTTATAGAAAATGTTTAATTAGAGATTTAAATGAAACTATGTTAGCTATTAAAATGTTTGGCATATTAATGAGAACTAAGTCACATTTTATGGTAACTTACCATTCACTGAGTGATGTTTTACTAATGTTTTATTGTCATAATGAGAAATTTTGTAAACTTCCATGTAAACTTTCTTTTTCTGTAGTAAAATTCACAGATTTTTAACTGCAGATGATTTTTTTACCGGTAACATGCGTTTATTCTATTGGCAGAAGTCCACTTAGGCAGGATGCTGCTTTGTTTTGTGTACATTTTGTGCAGGTTTAAGCCCTGCTGGAACCGGAGAGCACCTTGCTGTTGCCCTTCCCCCACCCGCAGCTGGTCAGGCTGGAAGTTAAGCACAGACCCCGGGCTGAAATAAAAAGAAATTTAATACAACAGTGTGATAAAACAATCTGAACAGCAGCAGTGGCAATGATAACAACAATAAACAGGAGTAACAGTGAACAAGACAAAAGATATATAGAGAAATACCGCAAAATGGTCAGGGAACAAGCCTGCCATGTGTGTTGCAACCCCCAAAACCAAAAGTGAAAGTAAAAAAACAACTCCGCCCCTGGACCTGACATCAGCATGGTATGAATAACCCGGCTGGAGATCCCTTCCCCCTCTCTCTGCTGGGGAAAACTTGACCCTATCCTAGTTGAACCAGGGCAATTTACAGAAATACAAATACGTAGTGAAATGCATTTGTTGTTTTATGTTAGAATATCTATTGATAGAACTACAGCATTGCTTTATAGTTCTGTGTGTGCTTATTCATAGGTTTTTGTAGTAACTTTAAATACCCATTCCTGCCATCATCAAAAATAAATAGCAGTCATTGAAATGACCTTGTTTTGTAGTTCTGGAAATTCCAGTGATTTTTCACTTGTTTCCAGATGGTTTGGGAAGGTTTTTGTTTGTTTGTGTTCCATGTGTGGTGGTTTTTTTGGTTGGGTGTTTTTTTTTTTGGACACAATTTAGCCTGTTTGTTTAGCCGTTTCTTTGGAGTTTTAGTGCACACTGTTCACATTTAATATTCCTTAATGTAAGCAGGCCTTTTTATTTTTAAGTTAGGATGACTTTTTCGTTCCTACTTCATCTACTGTTCTTTCAGCACAGAGCTGTTGCAGAACTTAGTTATGTACGAAGTGGCAATTTCACTGAAACGAGTACAACTTGGAGTTAGTTTTACTCTTCCTTGGACAATTTTTGAAGTAGTCTGTGAATAGTTATGGGTGTTTTGAGGTTAATCTGAACTGTTTAGTCAATCAAAAGGGAACATTTATACCTGAGTATCTGTGTCTCATGGTTGACAATGTACATTGAAACTTTATATTTTATATATTCTCAGTAAATCAATTTCTGGGAGGCTTGGCAAAGTTTAGGTAGAAACTAGATTGCCAGAGACTCGGTACATGCTGGATACTCAGCAAAAATCATGGGAGTGATGTGAATATTTTCCTCTTCTGTGTTGTACATATATATACTTTATATGTGTTTGTTCATTAGGAACAATTCAGTATATGTTATTGTAATTTTCCCTTTTTGTCATTTTTTGTAATGGAGGGATGCTGGAAGTTGTGCTCTATTCTGTCTTCTTGTGATGCCTTGTGCTGTTCCCCAGCTGGGACCTGGAGCATGTAGGGACATGCGGGGTAGGACAACGGGTACTGCTGCTTGTAGCAAGTCTTGTGGTATTTGACAGTGCTTCTTGGAGTCATGCAGAAGCCCATGTGTCTCAGTTCTAATAAATAAATAAATAAGCAGAGAACCCAACATCTACTTCTGTGGTCTTGTATATAGGACAGTAAAGGGAAAAGCTGTGCAAGCATCATGGTAAGCAAAGCCAAATCTTTAAACAAGCAAACAAAACTCAACTGAGCAAAGTTTGTGAGTTCAAAAATCATCATCAGAAACTTTGTTTGTCTGGCTTAAGATCTTTGAGTGTTTGCAGGTGGAATACTATTGGCACTTTATTATATTTGGACTTCTCTGTGCTGTAATGACTTCATGGCTCTTAGACTAATTTGCTGGTGATTTTAAGTAGTTTAGTGTAAAAATACACAGCGACGTGTATTAAAGATATTAAAAATATTCAGTTCAGTTCTGCTTTCCATATTGCTGATTGAGATATTTGAATTAAAATGATTTTAAAATTAGATTTAGGCGTAGTTTATTAGATACAGTCGCTTAGTCCTCCATTATCGTTCAGAGATTTCCTTATACTTGAAGTGCTGTCATTCAGATTGTAAGCAAAGAAATAACATTTTCATTTTCTACTATTTATTGAGTTTTTGTTTGGCCTTGTTTTCTTATTTGCTGTGCTCCCATTATAAATACATGTTAAAATTATTTAAAATCTGTGTTCTGTGTAAATTCTAATGCTTTTTTTGAAGCCTGCAGCAGTTCTTCCAAATCTGAAAAACATTTTTATTTTTCATTCTGTTCCTGTCTTCAGAAGAAGCAGTAGATCATGCCGGATTCACAATGTACACACATTGTGATTTTTTTTTATGTTGCATGGTAATACATTTTCAGGAGATGTTGGCTTTTTTGAGGACACATTAAAAAAAGTACACACTTTTAATAGTCTTTCAGACTAGATACATAGAAGTTCAGGATATTAAGTGACATAAGGTGATGGCACACAGTGAGGGGTTGTATTTGTTTGTTGGTTGCCTTTTTTAAAAAAAGGTGAGTAGCCATCTTTTGGCCTGAACTGAGTAACCTAATTAATACGATGATTACTCTCTTTTAACTTAATTCCCAGTTGAAAGTGAACTTATTTTTAGCACTTCTACTGCATAAAGACTTGGATACTGTTGTGAAGTAATTTTGAGTTCTTATTTATGTGATGTATGGCTTAGTTTTGGTGTTACCTTTCTTCAAAAAGTGAATGTAGTCATGAATCGTAGTGCAGTGTAATCCAGTTAGTTGCTATCTGCTTGCTTGCATGCAGTGGATAGCTTTTGTTTTTGAAAAGAGCCCTTATACTGCTAACCCAGTTTAGTTAGAGAAGGGTGATGTTCCTTTCAGTGTCTTTTAAAGAGCAGTTTGTGCCCTGTTTCTGTCTACACAAAGTTTTTTGTTAATTGTTTGGAAATAGAAATTAAGTCTTCCTGTCAGCACTTTAGAAGTTGTGTACATCCTGCAAGACCTTTGTGGCCAGAACCTTTTTTTTTTATTTACTTTCTGATACAATCAAAAAGCCAGTCAGTTTTGTTAGTGGTGTGCATTCTTACAGTAGGTGGGTGAAGTTTTCTGGGTTTACAGCAATACTTTGATAAGGCATCAAATCTCCATAAAGTTTTCTGCCTTATTTGGTTGAAGAACATAATGGCATTTGAAGATTAAAATAAATGAAAACTAGAAATTCTAATAGTTGAAAGAGGAAAATATTTTTTTTAAACCAGCAATCATAAAACCCCCTCCTCACTTGCTCACTGTTTTTCCTATGTTTTCTTGTAATTTCAGCATTGTATCACTTCTCTGTGCAATTTTAAAATTCAAAATGTGCATTTCTAAATTTGAAGGAAAGACCTATCAAAACTTAAAGATCTTTGAGACCTTCCTCATAAATCATGGAGAAAATAAGTACAACTATCATACTACTTCTGTAATAATTGTTAAAGTTCGTTAAATCTGTAATTCAATATATTTGGCTGTTGCGGTATTAATTTTGATAAAATAATCAGTACACTGAGAAATCTTGATAAAAGGCTGCTAGCTTTAGAGAGATCTTTTGATTTCCTATTGAAGACAGTTGTCTTGTTCTGAAGAAGGAGAAACATGATGAAATGATTGTCATGTGCTAAACTGATATTCCTTGTAAAGTTCAAATCTGCTTCTTAGAAGGCAAGAGTGATTGGAAGCAAATGAAAAGATAGCAAAAATAGAAAAAAGCAGTTTCTGGTCCTGAGATTTACTCTAATCGTACAGTGTTGGTTTTTATTAACTCTTGTGAGGCCTGTCAAACGTGTAGTTCTGTTGAGATGTTTTGCGTCTTAGATGACCATTGCTTTTAACGATTCCAAGTCATGGACTCATGGTACTATGAGCAAAGGTACAATCTACTCCTCATTCATAAAAAATGAGAAATTGGGGAAAGAAGAAATTAAGTGGGAAACCTATGAAGAAGCCAAACAGTGGAGGTGAAGATAGGAACTCGTATCTTGTGTTTCATTTGATAATCCGGATTAAGATAGAGTTGTGTAGAGATGAGATAGTGCTTTTTGTTTAGCCAATTTTAGTGAGGTTCTGGTTATCTAATGGTACCTGTGATATTTTAGTAGATGAGGTTCCAGAAGCTTGGGAGAAAAAGGAGGCAGGGAAATGAATAGCTGTGACAGCGTTGGTTTTCCTTTTAGGTCATGTATTGTCCTCACACAAATTCTGTTTCTCTTTTAACATTCAAAAACTAGTAAAAGGTAGATGAAGCTGCACTCTTGTGATTTTTACCTGTTGAATAGACCTAGCTGCCAGTATGATGGTTTTATCTCAATAATTTATAATTTTATGTTAGGCTGTTTTTAGCAGGTTTGGTCTTAGGGCAGTCCATAGTTTTGTTCATATGCTTTCTTATAGTTCTCCTTGTCTTCATCTTTTACTGACCTATTTTTCCCCCTAACATTTTTATATAATTAACACGTTATGGTTTTACTTTGTAACATAACTACATCAATATTGGTCTTCCAGTAATAAAACTATTAGAATGAAAATAAACCAGTGCAAAATAAGAATTTATGTATACTAGAAAATGTAAATCTGGACAAGCTTTGTGGTCACATCTAGTTTTCACAGACTTTAAAAGTGTTTTTTTTAAAGAACATTGTTTTTTTCCTCAACCTTGAGAATTTTATCAACTGTTTTTATATGATGAGCTTACATTAGAAGGCTGATTTACTGTCTGTTTTGAAATCTAAGAGCTACATATGGTAAAATAATGTTGAAGCATGTATTGCAGGCTCAATGTTTAGAAATTGTGTACTACCACTAGAGGTATTAGTAGTTGATATAGCAAAAGGCAGCCTTGTTTGAATAATGTTGATTTCTGCTGCCTTATGTCACATAGAGTACTCTCTTATTGTTGGTTGTAGGTTGCCGTCTTCCTTCAAAATTCTGTATGGTTAAAACTTTGTTTATTCAAGAGAGCTATTTGCCATATTTTTTTATACATGGGACAGTGAGTAGCTTGTAGGGGACTTTCACTAAAATAGAGGGGGTTTTTTGTAATTGCCTTTGAATATGCAGTCTAACTTTTTTGCCTATAAATATGTCTTTTTTCCTTTTTTCTAAGGCTGATAAAGAATTTGTGTGGTCACTGTGGAAACATCTCCAAGTGTCAAGTCCAGATCTTACTCAAGCTGTCAGCTTAGTTGTGGAAAGGTGAGTTTAAAGATATAACATTATGCTAAAACCAAAATTAAAAAAACCCCTCCCCTTTTACTATATTCTTTATCTTTTTAACTGGGAACTGTGTAGGATTTTGAAAATGTGTTACAAAATTTCCATTCTTAAATTTTGTCAAGAGTACCTGGAATATGTTACACGTTTCCTTTTTTGGTGTAAGATGAAGTTTACTTTAGAATCTGTTTTCACTGAAGTTGCTGTGCTGCAGTTGAATTCGATTATTAAATTATAAATGTACTAAATATTTTTTTTTTTTTTTGAAAGAGCAAGAGGAGGTAAATGACGTGTTCTGCTAAGTAGTTGGATAACAGTTACATATATAAATTATGTTTAACTCATTCTTAAAAAAAAATGAAAGGCATAAGACATGGTAACAGAAGAGATCACTATGCAGTTTAATTGTTACTCCTTTGAGGATATTAATGATGATGATTTCCTCATGGTACTTACATAATATAATCTGATTGCTATGAATGTTAGTTAATCATCACAGTATGTGATTGATTGTTTTAGAACGCTGTTTATAAATTCAGAATTTCTGTAGGCCAAAGATAAGGAGAATATGAATGAGTTTGTAATGTCAGAATTCAAACAATTGGTTCTCTTATGGTCAGAAGATTTTTCTGTTCTGTCTGAGTGACATGAGTTCCCTGTTTTAAAATGAAAAGTGGTTTTTGTTTTTTTTTGTTTGTTTTTTTTTTAAGAAAAAAAAAATTGATTTTAACTTCTTTAAATGGCTTGTCCGTGTTCCTTGGGAAGTTTGTCGTAGACAAACTTGGGTTCCTGTTCAGTGCTTTGATCTTGAAAAGCATGTTCTGTTTGTTCACATTTATTCCTTTCTGGACTTGATCAGTAAATGTTCTTCCACTTCTGAAAATACAACATTAAGTTCTTTAGCTACGAGTACATTCACTATAGTGTTGTCCCACCTTTTGAATTGCATAACATAATGAAAATTTTGTCCAAAATATGGTATGATCATGTAACTAGAGCTAATATACTAAAGCATTCATACTGAGTGAAAGAAATAGATGATTTCTTTACTGTTCATGCAGCTTGTTTTAAGACAGCTGTTACATGAGAGTTCACATGTGGTCATCAATGATGATGTCAGATAATTCTGGATTTGTAGTGGGACACTTAGCTTGGTGGTTAGGACAGTATACTACTTTCATATCTCTTGTATGTTTTGATTTAAGAAGTAATTTTAATATAAGGAAGACTTACGAACCGGTTTACAGCATCCCTCATGTACGTTGAAATGCAGATTCTTAATGACGTTTGACAAAATTTGGTTGTATTTTCTTGAGGGCTGTGATAGTATTGATCTTCTTTCTTCAAACACTAAAAAAATGTAAGAACTGCTTAAAATATGTGAATATAGTATTTAATGTATGTAAGCATACATTACATGTATATAAGCACAAGTATATTGAAAACAGTAACAAATTGTTTTGCTTTAACCACATTTTGTAGACAGCTGAACAATATGGAAAATTTTAGCTCTTTCACATGAAGCTTGATAAGGTAGAAACAGAAGTGTTCAGGCTTATTAATGTTTTTGATTCGTGTTGCATATAAGAAAAAATCAGGATATTAGAACAAATTGAAGCATAGAGTTGTTAGAAAGCATGCATTTAAAGAATGGTGAATAGAATTAATTGTTTGGAGTTCTTGAATTATAAGCCTAAATAAGATACAACCTATCTTCTTTGTTTATCCTTCTTTGGGTCTAGGAATATTTTTATGCTTGGTAGTTACTTCTTGCTTTATTTTATACTTTATTCAGAACAGAAATTGATAATTCTGGAACTCTTAGATACCACCTTGATACACACAAGCATGATAATGAGCTGAATTTTTTTACATGTTATCACTATCCCAGAGAATCCTGGAAATAGGTTTGGATAAAACCCATTCAGTATATAGGAGTTTTATTAGTCATGACTCAACTTTGGGGTTCCTTTGGTTTGACAGATGGTGCAATAGTGTGTGTTTTTCTCTTTAATTGATGTAGCTTCATCTTTTGACTAAGAATGATCTAATTGCTGCTTTGGAAATAATTTCTAGCCTGGTTTAACCTGTGGATCTTCTGCATAAACAAGTTACAGCCCATATATTGTCTCTAACTTTTCTAGCTGTAACTTTCCATAATCTTTTCCTAATTAGCTTCTGTTTCATGACTGTACCTCTTCACACTCTCATCCTTTCAGAAGAGTTTTTGTCTTAATCTGTATTTTATAGCAGTAAATATATATTTTTTAATATTGCTACAGTGTCAGTTTATCTTGGTTTCATTACATTGATTAGATTTCCAGAGAATCGGCTACCTAACACTACTGCTGTCCAGAAAATTACAGGACAAGTGGTTTTCTGGCTTTGTTAATCTACGAAAAATATGTGGATTTAAAGGATAAAGAAATGGGATTACCAAGTTACAGTTATAAACAAAATGATTCTTGAATCATGTTGCTCAGCAGATCTGTGCTGCTCAAAGCCTGTTTTTCTATATTTTACATGTTTGTACGAGACAAGAGCTGGAAATTGGAACATTACACTGAAATCTGATAAAAAACAACTTCAGCCTTATATATTTTCTCCCCTTCTCATATTAGGAACAACATTGACCCAGTCATATCCAAGTTTATAATGTTTTACATCTTGCCCTGGCTTTCTAGGAGATTTTGGGATAGATGCAAACAGAATCAAATGGATTTAAACTTTTCGTTGTTTCTGTTTGTGACATGGATACCACCAATGTTTGCATAGCTTAATTTTTCAGTGTGTTCATCAAAAATTCCATAACTGAGAAACTTCCAGTGCCCACTGAGTCTTTGTTATGGATAATCTGAGATCAGAAGCTGGTTACCTAATGGAAGCAAACATAATCTAAGAAAGTCATGTGTATCTTAGATCACAAATATAATTAACCAATCAATATTGTCCTGTGGATTTGAGTCTTAAAATTAACAAAAGCAATAGCCAGACTTTTTTCAGGAGGTTACAGTGAGAGGAATAAAAAGATGCAGATGTGAAAGGACAAAAGTTCACTTACAACCTTGTGTACCATGGATGTGTAATGAATAAAAAAGAAAAAATTATGTATCAAGAGATTGAGTGGTCAGTGCTAGCCTTACCATCAGGTGATCTATTTGTAGCATTACTTGATATTTGTAACATTAGACAGTTCTGTATAAGTAGCTTTTTCTTAAATAAACCAGGAAATGTAAAAGACATAATTTGGGCAACATAGGGGGGGCATAATAGTAGGTTTCTGTTATTTGTCTGCTATTTTGAAGTGCTTTCATGGTCCCAAAATAGAAGTTTTCCTGCCCTAAAATTGTAAAAATGTAGCTGGTAGCTTTTTATGACTGTGCTGTTGATTCCTGTAATACACCAATGATATTTTACTTTTCAGCAGTCTTTGCAGTTCTTGCTGGATAACTGTAACTATATTCACATTTTAATATTCAGATATAAACAAAAAATTAGCTTTACTGTGCAAATGAGAAATGCCTTTGGGATATGTAAAAGCCTCCAGGTATTTTCAAACAAGCCATTGTAAAAGTACTACTCATGTTAGTATACTTTCCAGCTACTTTAAATACTATTGATCTCAGTATTATGTAAAGAGCCTGCTATTTCTAGTTCAGTGGCTTTTGAAACACTTTTTTTTATGATGAGTGGAAAAAAAAAAAAGTGCTAGAAAGTACCTTTTACAGGTAAATGCAAGTGTAAATTCAAAGAGAGGTGATGTTCTGGTGAGAGTATCAAAGGTTTTGAAATATTTTTGCAAACTTTGAGAGCTCTCCTTTATGAGTTTTCTCTTATAATACATGAAATTTTGACAGGTCAGCTGACTCTAATTTTTCTTCTAGGGCTTCTTGCTGATTCCTGGCTCTTATCCTTTCTTCTGGGAGATGTAGCAGGATCCATTAATGATCAGACTATGGCAGTGATACAAGACTTGGTAGATGTAAATAGGGATTGTATTAATGCTAGATGATACCCTTGCAGATAGTTATATTTGGCAAGCTTGCCTTACATAAATGTTTTTCCACACCTGAAATCCAAGTGTGCTGTATCTTGCAAGTTTTAACAAAGAGCAAGAATGGATTTATCATTTCAGGCCGCTCTTTAAGATACAGTAGCAACCTGAATGTTAGTGCCAGTGATAAGAGTTTTGTTGTTGTTGATTATCAGACAGTGAGAAATCTGTCAAACTGTTTAATGTTTATTCCACAATCAGAAATAACCAAGGAATTTTTGGAAGGAATTTAAGTTTGCTGCGTCCTGTGAATAGCAGATTGTGGAATAAACATTAAACAGTTTGACAGATTTCTCACTGTCTGATAATGCATAGATGTACTAAAAATTACAAGTACTTTTTATGTAAAAGGATAAGTGAATGTATTGTATGAATGAGCAATAGATTGCTGATGTTAATTGAAAAAGAATTAAAAATCTTGTATCTTGCATCTTTTGAAGGGATGATAAATACCTTGCAGAAGCTGTCTTAAACCACTTACTGGTTTGCTCTTGTGCAAATTAACAGGAAACAGAATGACAGGAGAATGAGGAAGTAAACAAGGTCTAATATTTTTAAAGCCATTACTGTTTTGTCACTCTGAGTTTAAAATAAAGTAGACTCCCTAGTTATTATCACTCAGTGAATAAATATAAAGTGGACGAACAAGAGAGCATAAGAGTACAACCTTTCTATCTAAGGTCAAATAATTGTGATTTTCTACAGTTGATGAAAGTTTAATATCCTGTTTCATTAAAAATTCTCAGAACATTGAACATAAGTCAACATTCCATGGAGAAGAAGGTATTATGCAGCTTGCATGTGTGCATATCTGCATATTGGAGCACAAAATATTGACATGATAATTGCAGTCAAGCCTGATTGAACAGTGGCCTCTGGGAATTCAGCTGGTGTTGTACCAACTGGATGGCTGCTCAGGACACAGTTT